ATTTATTTATTTATTTAGGTTAAATAATGTTATTTTAATATTATATTTAGATAAAGGGATTCTCGTAAAGATATAAAAAAATATTTTAATATTGTGCTCATTGTGCGATACTATTATAATATAGATAACAATTTCAAAATAAAAATATCACATTGATACACATATATTATATCATAAATGCGTAGGTATTTTCAAAATGTTTAATTTATTTATGCAACTATGCAAGACCATCTTTGTTGTGGTTGAACATAATATTGTGATATTATTTCATACGTCTAGTATTATAAAATACGATTAGACGATAAAATATAGTGTATACTTACTTATAACATTATTATTGCAACGTTTTGGTTATAGGAATCTTTATTTATTGGTCCACGAATAAAATATGATATTACGGTGCACTTTGTACGAAATGTAAAGGTAGGTATAAGAAAAACTCTATGTTTACAATTTATAGATTGTAGTCTGTAAAATAGTTATGACATAGTAAGGTCAGCTTTTGCCATTTTTATCACGAGTGAAATGTATAAAAAATCACACTATACACGTTTTAAATGTACAAAATAAATAAAAATATTTTTATAAACAATTTGTTATATTACGATTTACCCTTTAAACCCTAATACATATTTGTCATTACTTGTTTTCTAATCCATTATCAAACATTGTAACTATATGGTAATAATATATCATAGTAATCTATAATATAGTTATCTATTTTTATTAAACATAGAGGTAAGTACGTATTTATCAATCTATGTTACGATTATTTTCAAACATTTCAAACAGCCTATTTTTAGGTTTTTGAGCAAAATGAGTACCTACGATTTAATGGTAGCTAAAATAATCCCTTAAACCTGATGCAACCATTAACATAAATATCGAATCATTCTAATAAACGGGGTGCATCAATAGTTCCTTCAATTAGTCTACAACTGAAGATAATATTACGGTGTTCTAATAACGATTTAAAACTGAAAATATCGATGACATTACTATATTCGTGGCCCATGAGGTGGGACGTGGGTGGAAAAACTCAGAAAACTATTTTGAACTGTATCTAGATGTTACACGTAATATAATATATGATTGATGACTGAACAACATTTTTTTAGAAAAATCAGTCCCATAAATGGGTAATTTTAATTTATCAGTGATAATTATTTTTATTTATTGATAGTAAATAGCTTGTGGTCATTAGTAATTATATAATTATAACTAGTTACTCGACTTGTATTATTACCTATTTAATAATAATTTGGACAATTGATTAATTTTAACACTCTGTATAATATAATGTTTATATTGTATAATAATATATTAAACATTATATTATGTTACATTGACTTTTAAATTAAAATACATCTTACTGGAAAGTAAAATGTACGAGAAACCTTAGAAAATATATTCGCTATACACTTACTTCTATAATCTTGTTTTAAACTTGAAGCCACATTTTGTAGTACCCATGCGTTGTTTACACATTAATAATACATAATATATACCTAGGTGTTAATGATATATGATCTGTTCATAAGTTTTTCTTGAAGAGTCATCAGTAAATGAAAAACTTTTTAATTATAAAATGTTTAAAATTCAATTCGGTTTATTAAATTACATCATACTGCGCTAAATACCATCATTATAATCAACGGTGATATTGAGCTTAAAAAAATTTGCCTCCTCTAATAAAATATATTTGAACAGTTATAAATTTAGCGAGTTTTCAGGTTTAATTTGATGGACATACAATACTATCTCTTATTGAATAATTAAATAAATAAAATGTGTTATTCATAATGATTAATGCTACTGCTTGTGCTAAACACGTGAACTCTTCTCTTACATAATCGTGCACTTGTAATTGATTAAAGCTCCGATAAAACAAACCCTTGTTAAGCCTTTATTAATTACTATACCTATAGTATATTACAATATTATATTATTATGCATTTAGCCTTATGCGTGGATGTGTACACACATTAAATAGCGAATATTAACAGCAATATTATAAAACGCTGTAGAAACATTAAGTCATGAAACTTGGGTGTATTTTGACCTAAATAATAAATGTCTTTTTTTTAAAATTAAAACCAAACACGTCATATTATGTAATATTGATTAGGAAAATCATTTTTATAGATTTCATAATTACTACGTAGGTCCAAATTTCTAATACCTACGTTATGCGATATAGGTAGGTACTGGGACAAAATATTTGAATGTATTTTAGTACATTTTGTTTTAATTGGTACATCGTATTTATAACTACATTTTAACACATGCTGTTTATATTTATCTGATACTTGATAGTCATATATCGCATATTCGCCCGAATATGAAAAATATAATGATTAGTACTTACACTAAATCGCGATTATAATTAGTACTTACACTAAATCGCGATTATAATTAATGGCTATAATAAAGCGCTTTATTATCTATAATTTTGTCTTCTTTAAATTATTGCAATTCATTTGAATTTAAATTTTAAACTTAATTAATTCGCATTTCAATGATGTAAAGTATTTTAATTATATTTTACAGATCCATATTGTACTTTATATCTTTGTATAAGTTTGCATAGTAATGTACTAATGTTTAATATTATATAATACTCTATTAACTATGAAGTCATATTCATTGAACATTTTTTAAAACTAATTTAAATCGTTTCATTGTAATACCGACAAACAGGTCTCAATTATATTTTCTGTTCGAAATGTATAAAAGCATTCTCATTTTAATATTAAATATTATAGTTAATCCTGCAATACTTTTAAGTATTTTATTATAGCTTACAGAATTATGTGATATAAATCTATAATATTATATAGGTTCGCATAATATTTTACATGTGTAGGTACACTAAATAGTGTCAATTGAAAATTATTTGATCAGATTTAAATTGTTTCAGTTAAATTCTGACAAACGCATTAGGCCGTATGACCCATATTTGTATAGTATTTTATCTGAATTCACAATCAAAACTCATCGATAGTGAATTGTGATATTATTTACTGCATTATACAACTTTATACTTATTAGTTATTTCTATATTACCTAATGAATATTCCAAACCTTCAAACAGTAGTTTACTTTTTATAATATGTACTAGCACGCATTTTATAATATAAAAAATAAACAATATTATTACATAGGAAGTTATTGTTTATTTATTATTTAAAAACGATTAACAATGTACGTTTGTATGCAATCTAGTAATAGCTTATTGAAACTGTTATAATATTGTGTATAATAATAATTTACTTGTAAAAATTGATAGAATAAAATATTATATTAATTTCATAATGATAGATATCAGATTTCAAATTCTTTGTTTAATTATGAAATTATGAACGCAGACTCGTGAAATCATTATAGCATTACTTCGTACATATTATACAACAAAAATGCATATTATTAGAACGTGAATACTGAATGCAATTTATTGTTTTGTATGTTAATATAGTTAAGGTTTATAAATTATTATAATATTATGGAAAATGGCAATGAGTTTGCTGTTTTTAAAATATCTTTTTTTCTGTGAAAAAATAGCTATACAATATACAGCAATCCAGAATTCCAAAATAATCCTAAACGAAGAATAAAATGAATACTTAAAATATTCTATCGCTTTAGTTCTGTAAACACGTTGAGAAATACCCAGTAAAAAGTCTCAAGAAAATTATCATTCACTAAAATATAGTATTGCAAATTAAATTCTCAACAATTTAACTACATACCTCCATGTGTTTCAATTTTAATGACTAGCTTATTGCTCGGAATAATTGTAGTATTTACTAAAAACGTCGAAAAATTGCTTATACAGGGTGGGCCACGGGAATAGGGACACAGATAGACGGGTTTTACTCAACGTTGAATATGAGGAAGGGCTCATTAATTCAATTGGCAGATAATGCCCTTTCATTGTCACTATGGAGCAGTAGAGTGTGGTTACCGGTACCGTGTTGCGTATTATCTGGATGATCGAATGAGCCTATCTAGACCTTTCAATTCACATTCAACATCGAGAAAACCCGTCTATTTTTGTCCTTATTCCCGTGGCCCACTCTGTACACAATTTAAAATATAGTATATAGTAATATTTTCCGTTATTGGTTCAGAGGTCGTATAACAAAAAAAATACTGCATTAAATATAGTAATACAAAAATAAAAACAGCAATTTTAATGCACGGTCTTAACAAATGTATAACAAAATATGTTGACTTAACATTTTTATGAAGTTTCCGTAAAAATATTTTTAGAAAATATCTTATCAAAATGTTTTGTAAATGTTTTTTATGAAATATTTTCAAAAATATGAACTTCTTGGCCAAAGAATAAAACTAAAATATTTCCTAATTACTTACGATTTTTAAAATATTTTGACAACAATATTATTTTTATGAAAATATTTTTACCATAGTTGGGAAATAATTTTATGTTCTGTGGGAAATAATTATCTCATGAAAATCTTCACTTATTATACCTTATAGAAGTGATTTGTGATTGCAAAAATATAACTAACGGTAACAGGCCCATCAACTCGATTCGTTCATTTCTCACCACAGAGTTAAATGAATATGTAACAATTAACATTTAAAAGTATATAAGTTAAAAATTTGAAAGTTCACTGTTGCTGTATTGGACCGACACATAAATAAAGGACTTGCCATAATTCTTGCACCATGTTTCAATCAACGCTCATGTTAATAATTTTTACTTTCGATGTATTAAAACATAACAATATTGTAAATGCGCGTTAATTTGTTTTTTTAATCCGGCACGAAAGACGTCACCACATACTTCTGAGTTTTAGAATTACACTTGAGAATTATAACTATTATACTCTTTGAATTTCTGTAGTATCGACCTAGTTTGATGATAACTCGACGAATAATATTGACTCGACGCGATTTCGCCTGTGAATAATAGCTAATGAAAGTAATGATAATAACAACAACGACACTGACGATTTATTTTTATTTTTCAGCGAGAAAAACTGATCCAGGTGATGTCCAGACGGAAAAGTGACGACGACGTACTGATCGACCAACCGGGAAAGGAGAAATTGGCTAGGGTCCTCAACCTGGTCGACCTAACGGCACTCGGCGTAGGGTCCACATTGGGCGTGGGCGTGTACGTGCTCGCCGGAGCCGTTGCCAAAACGGATGCAGGGCCGGCGGTCGTGTTGTCCTTCATTTTGGCCGCTTTTGCGTCGGCTTTCGCAGGTGAGGCGAGGAGAAGAAAAATGTTTAAAAAAAAACTTACAGGCGACTTCTGTTTCCGGTTTGTGTTCAGAATAGGCCAAGAACGAACAATTAAATACCAAACACTGATCCTCACAGTGAAAACGAGTTAGGACGTAATCACGTATCCGTGGTATCACCTACGGTAAATACCACCACGGTTATCTACCAGATATGCAGTACATAACCGTGGTAAATACTCAACCTCTTATTTTATATAAAATACTAGCTGATCCCGTGCACTCCGTTGCCCGTTAAATGTATCAACTCTATATGACTCAAACTTTGTTTAATTCGTTATTTGCCAGAGTATTAATTTTTTTTTTTGCATATAATTTTAAATATAATTTTATAAATGATGTACACTTTTAACTATTTTTATTAATGACTTATAATATTTTGAATTATAACAATTTATAATAATTACAATACTTCTAATTTAACTCAGAACTAATTGGTGCTCAATAGTTATGGTTAACCTGTCGTTTGTTAAAATAAATAGATTTGATGGCTTGTATAGCTGACGATATCAAAGGATATAGTTTTATTGATAAAGTCTAATCATCAAACTGTGCGAGTAATAGCGCATTGAACTAATATTTTTATTAGTTTCATTACCTATAAAAATAAGAAATTAAATGGTTCAAGCCGTTCACGGTCTTCAATTCACTTAACTAAACTTATCCTGCACTTAAAACTGATTGAATATGTCAAATCGTCGATGTATAAAATAAATGGGTGTTTGTTATCTTGGCAATGAATTCAAACGATTCACTATAATTCTGAATTGAAATATTATACTAATCATTTTATACGACGTCACTCATGGAAACCATTTATAAACAAAAATGTCCATCTGAAATCTGAAAATTACCGTTTTAGCACCTCCCGGGGTTGATCCTCTCCCTTTTAAAATTAGCCTATCTTTTAAGTTTGGCCAAATTACACACATTGTAAAAATTTCATCAAGATCGGTAGTTTCGGAGTTTATTCCGGACAAAGACGTGACACGGGATTTTTATATATAGATTATACATTTATAACTATTAGAAATAAATCCAAAGTTCGATACACATATCACAATACTGTCTTGTTTTCAAACAAATTTTACAGGGATACATTTTTTCCAATTTTACGATCACTTGTTAAACATACCCATGAATAATTTTTTTCCCGTCATAAACAACTTCAATAATGGGTACCTGACATAAGAAATATATTATATTATAATACACACCTAGTAGAAAACCATCCCCTAGGGATATACGTACATAAATATAATACGGGACTTCCGAGCACCATATATATAGACAATCCGAACCGGAAATAATATGCCAACAATATCATTATTAACGACTCAACAACTTAATAATATATTATTATATAATTATCTCATTATATCCGCAGGTCTGTGTTACGCTGAGTTCGCAGCGCGAGTGCCAAAAGCCGGGTCGGCTTACGTTTACAGTTACGTTGGAGTGGGCGAATTCGTCGCATTCGTGATCGGATGGAATTTGATACTCGAATACGTCATCGGTGAGTCAAGTTTAGTCCAATAGAGCTTAAACAGGGCGAATACCTAGTCAGTCGAGAGGACCAATAGCAATGTCTTTTCAAATCCTAGGAATATTTATTAAAAATTATGTTAAGCGGGTATTCGATCCCGTCCGTGTTTTCTCCCTCAATATCTTATGCCAATTTTACTGGGTATAGTCACCGTATATTCTATTATAGTCATCGGATAAGACTTCGGAAATGTATTTGAATTCGTCATAAGACTATAGCTGAAAACGTCTTCCACTTTTTTAAAAATAATTATTGAACTCCTTAACCCTTCAAAATTAGATTTTTGAATTTTGAATATTATTGAGAATTGTAAAATTTTGTTAATGAAATATTAATTTAAAAATGTAATATTGTCGTTTTTAAAGTAAATGTCAAGAGGTGTTCCAAACATGTTAATTGTATCGGTCAAATAAGTTATAGCTTATACAATTTGCAAATATTGAAACTTTTGACCAAAATTAATATAAAATAATTAATATTCGTGTAGTGGGCGCTATTGGCAAATGCGGAACTGCTTCGCTATTTTGTATACTCAGCCTAATGACCACCTACTAAGCATAAATTTACACGATAGCCAGACACGCACATAAAATTGCCTATATTGAGTTCCTTAAAAACCGTTCGGTATCAAATCATCTGAAGATGATCCAGTTGAGTTATCTCCGTCTTAAAAATGTACAACATAGCAAATTACCTATAACTAATTTTGCGTTGATAGCTTTAATATTATTGTGAATTGTCCTATTACAGAAGTATAACACTTAAAGGTAAGAACATTATCAATTACCTCTCGTGAGTTTTTTACGAAATTTTAATTTCTATGCGGGTATAAGCATTTTTGATTTGTTATATTTTTTATACTCATAACTCAAATAAGAATTAAAAATATCGTAAAGACCATCAAGAGATAATAGATATATTTCTAGTCTTGTGATAGATCAATTCACTCCTATATTAACCCCAAAATCAACAAAAAATTGGATCAACTGAACTCGAATTATCTATATATTGTACGTTTGTAAGATTGAGTCCACATATGCAGATGTACACCTCTTCCGTACGTTTCCAGAACAATTCAGTATCTCTAAACATATACTAATGTGTTTTTAAACGTTTAGGGCCGTTCTTACAATGTCCGGTTAGTGTTAACCGACACTTTACCGGACACTGTAAGAACGACCTTTAGAATGATAATAATTTAAAACTTGTGTGAATTTCCGTGGCCATACTCTAATATTATAACATTTTACCTATTATTAGCTAACATTTTTTACTTGGAAACATTGCTGGTTTAAAATTTGAAAAATACCAAAAATTAATTCTGTGATTTTAAATAATATATAGTAATTTAAATTACACACATGTAAAACAACATATTTTGTTGTGCAACTATACTTGCACATATTATTGTATAAATAACTTTTAAAAAATATAATATATAGGTATTCATACAGTTATTTGTTCTATCCACTCTCATGATTTAATTTTTACAATCTTCTACCAGAAACATTGAAAAATAAGCAAAAAAATAAAAGATCAGGTATGTAAATATTAAGTCTAATAAGTCTCAAAAGTCTTTTGGTTAGGGATTTATAATTATTATAACGAATTCATACAGTATAGCTAGATAGAATATACGTTTAAAAAATGTATGAAAAGTATAATATAATATATTCATTATTCATATTAAATTAGGGAGTTTTAATACTTAGGAAATACAATTACACCACAATGCACGTGGTGTATAAACTTTAAGATTAGATTCTAGAATCTCAGAGAAATGTGTTATATTTCGGTATACCCATTAATTTGTTTTGTTACAGGCACTGCAAGCGTCGCCAAAGGTCTCAGTAACTACATCGACGCGCTGTTGGAGTACCCCATGAAAAGAACGATGACAGAACTCTTCCCTATGAATGTCAGTTTTTTGTCCGAGTTCCCAGACTTTTTGTCGTTCAGCGTCGTCCTGCTATTATCGAGTGAGTAGAAAAATGCTCCAAAAACGAATCACTGCAACAACCGTTATATTATATATATTTATGTGTCTACGTTAAATCATTACCTATATTTAACCGATGTTGAACATTGCAGTTTTACTGTCATGGGGAGTCCGTGAATCAACGATGATCAACAACGTGTTTACAGTCGTTAATTTACTGACCGTTGCCACCGTCGTTATAACCGGTTTATTCAAAGGTAACATATTATAATTTAACACGAATATCACACGCCATCAGTGTTAATAACAGTACTTTTGTAGTTACCCGTCAATAAAATATTAAAATGACACTGAGTTGTTATGATAATAATATTTTGCTGTCGCTTTGTTATAGTTAACTCGTACAATTGGAATATACCGAAACAAGACATCCCGAAAGGCGCGAAAGGCGGTGAAGGCGGTTTCATGCCCTTTGGTTGGGCAGGGGTGACCGCGGGGGCTGCCAAATGTTTCTACGGGTTCATCGGTTTCGACACAGTAGCTACAACAGGTGAGCATCGTGGAATGGAAAAAAAAATAATCAATGATCTATTTGACCAATATTATACCAACATATTATAACGTAAACTAAATATTTGCCGTGTACAGGAGAAGAAGCGAAAAAACCGAAACGTGACATCCCTTTGGCCATCATACTGTCGTTGTCCATCATAACGTTCGCATACTGCTGTATCAGTTCGGTGTTAACTCTGATGTGGCCGTATTATAAACAGGTGAAATTACCATTATATAATATTATTGTTTTCAAAAACAAAATTCTACCGTCTTATTATAGTATGTGGACATGTGGTATAACCAAAAACCATTTTTTTCAAATCTTTAAAACCAGTATTATTACGTCACACAAGTATGAGATTTCTGAAGTAAAATATATATGTATTTTATCGATACTATATATTATTTTATAATAACGGCTTATTGACGTTGATAATATTATCTGAGTTTTATTTTTTTGAGTTATACATCGTAAATTAGGTAAATAAGATAGGTATAATATTTATAATGTATATTATACTAAATCATTGTTAGTTATAATTTATTGGTTCCCCAATATTATGTATTATAATATGGAAAGTATAGGTACATATTAGGTAGGTACCTCTGTATTATAATACACCTATTTTCTTAATTTTTTCACTCCCCCGCTATACATGTATATATTTTTTTTATCTCATAAGAATAATAATGTTTATTTATTTTAATTTTATTTAAGTATTGAAATATAAATGAAAAATGTTGTCTAAAGATAATCGTCAACAATTCATATCGATGTTTTGATTTGTAACAAAATGATGAACAGATTTTTCATTTTTTCACTTCAAACCGTTTGTAATTTGACATTTCGCTCGTTATAGGACGCCGACGCACCCTTCCCGTACGTCTACGATCATCTTGGCTGGACGACTATTAAATGGATTGTTTCTTCCGGCGCTATATTCGCACTGTTCACCAGGTAAGCACGCGTTTGTCGAGAAACATTATTCAATTTTACCCACGATAAACCACGTATCTTACAGTCTCATCGGGACCATGTTCCCGTTGCCGAGGATTCTATACGCCATGTCTTGCGACGGTCTCCTGTTCAGCATGTTCTCCGACATTCACCCAAAGTATCAAACACCTCTATTGGCCACCTTGCTGTCGGGCCTGCTCGCGGGTAAACATTATATTAATTACTACTGTGTGTTATATTACGATAGGCAAAGATGGGAAAGTTAATGAAAATAATTAATTGTGGCAAGTTAAGTTAATTCAATTAAATTGCCTTCAGTTAAATTAAAAGTTAACAAAAAATTTGCATCTAGATAAGTTTAAAGTTGAGATAGAAAATAAACTTAACTTCACTCAGTTAAAAAAAAAGTTAATTTATTTTCAAGTTACAATATCTTTAAGCCATAAGCTGCCCTATAGTATTTTGGTTTACAAAAACATTTATCAAGACTTTTAACACTGTGTAAAAAAATAGATTATTCTGTATTGTCTAATTGGTTCCGAATGACACGAAAAGAAAATTAACTTAACTGCACGACATTGATAATTAACTATAAAAAGTTAAGTTACAACAATAACAATTTTAACTGAATAAGTTAATAAATTAAAAACAAAAATAATTAACTACCGTCAAGTAAAAAAGTAAAATAAAAAATAACTTTTTAACAAGTTAATGCCCACCTTCGATGATAGGCGTCTGCGATATTCACTCTATGCGATTGGTTTATGGCAGGTATTATGTCAGCGATTTTCAACCTGGAACAGCTGATCGACATGATGTCGATTGGCACATTGTTGGCGTACTCGATCGTGTGCATTTGCGTGCTGGTGTTGCGGTACAGGAACGACTCGGACGTGGAGTTTGTGATCAAAGGTAACGACGAATTGGAGACAAGCGGATTCATCGAGACGGTTGTCAAGACGGTGGTAAAGTACTTTAACCTGTCCAACATCAAATACGCCAATGAAGAGACCGAGAGCGTGGCCACGATCATCACTATGTGGTTCAGTACGTATATTTAAACGACATTTCCATCAGACCATTATAATATTAATTATTATTATAATATTGTTGAGCGTTTCGTTTGTCATTTTGCAGTTTGCACGTCGGCGCTGTTCTGCTTCATAACCGTCCAACAAGAAGGTGCCCAAAACAATAGTGACGTCGCAGCGTACTCGAGCGCTATTTTGGCCATAGGGCTGTTGCTTCTGTTACTGTTACTGGCCAGACAGCCACAATCGACCAAAGAACTTTCGTTCAAGGTATGTATTATTATCGATCTGTATTGGTGTAATAATTATAATAACATTTATTTTTATACATTTTTTCGTTCTATTACGGTTTTATAAAAATATATTTTTCTTACTCATTTCTACATTATACCGGTGTTCTGCAGTAACAACATATCGTCAATTTAATAACAAATACGAAATCAGAACAATTTTCTAAGTATTTTGTTGTTACCCTATCAATTAGAAATTTGAAGTTTGGATCAGCGTAATAGTGAACCACAACTTTTGAGGCCGTTATCAGCATAACCAATTTCAGCAAAAAAAAAAAAAAAATGTATAAATTATTAAAGATATTTATTGGCAACCATTAATATCAGTTATATGCCTCATTATTATTATTTTTATTAAATTATATAAATGATTTAAGACAAATAAGAAATGAAGAATATACACCTACTTTCAAAAATACATTCACGGGCATTTAGCTAGGTTCGAGTTTCTTCAACAAATCTCTTTTTCATATAGCAAATATTCAATGTGTTCGAATACGTTTAAATGTTATACTTTTTATGAAGTTTTAATTTTTATAAATCAATGTATTATTTGGACTAGAAACTTGTGATGTTTCTAATTATTAATATTTATATTTATACTGTTTATACTACTATTCGTTTAATTTTATATGTATTTAATATTTTAACAAGATCAATATCGGTCGTCAGTTATGATACAAGGTGAGGCGCGTACATCGTAATCATTACTATTTGAAGGATTAAGGTTCAGGGATGCTTAAAAAATATTTCAAATAATTTATTAATTTTTTTGGCGGAAATCGGAATATAACCTTTGGCGGAAAACGTCCATGATGATAACGAACGAAGGTCAACAAAAACTCTCACTTAAACAGCCAACTATAGTCTCATATAAAATATATTTGATAGTTTCGTTTAAATACAATATTAAAAAGAAATCACCTAATACAGATAATACCTACAGATGAGTGTTCATAAACACAAAAATTGTATTAATATAACAATGCTCATGTCCCGTTTGCACAGGTTCCGCTGGTGCCGCTCATACCGTGCATGAGCATCTTGTTGAACATTTACCTGATGATGAAACTCGACATCCACACGTGGATCCGTTTCGGCATTTGGCTGCTGATCGGACTGTTCATATACGTCCTTTACGGGATGAAGCACAGTGTCGAGGGACGGAAGCAGTTGGAAGAGCCGAAAAAGAGACCGTCTAGTGCCACGGCTGTGCACCCGATTTCCATCATCAAGTTATAGGACATGTGGGTTAAGTGCATGGTATAAGTATAGGGGCGAGGAGATGTCGATCAGAATATTATTAACATTCCGTTTCAAAAACGAAACCGACTGTCGCGCGAACGATGTCACTTTTCAAAACGCAATGCAAGGGGCGACTGTCGTTCGCAAAATATTTACACATACCAGTATTATGTTATTTACTTCTTACAAACGAAAAATATTTTAAGTTATATTAAAATTAATAATTGAATGAACGGCCATATAATATTATAATATTACTATACGAAACTCAATCGTTCTACGAAACTACTATGTAATATTGTTGACAGTACTTAAAATACCTACGTATATTAAATGTTCTTAATTTTTTTTTTTTTTTTTTATGTTGTGATATTTATTTATAGAAATACTATTTACGTAATTTTTTTCGTGTATAATACATTTAATATTATTACGATAATTAAATAATTAATCTTCGTTTTTAGATATATATTATATTATACCTAGTGCGTACAAGTCGTTAAACAAAAAAAAGTACCATACCAGACAATTTATTTTCCTTTACGTTTTTATTATTATTTTTTTTTAATCATATTATCAGCAATGTTGTTTTATTATTGCTATTAATTAATGAATGTATTATGTTATATTATTTATTTTTAGTACCTATAGTTCACGTCTGTTACGAACACATTATAATATAATTATTATAGTATTTGTATTTGTTTATGTGTATATATATATTATTATACTATTGTAAATTGTATGAACGATTTGTAAAAATTTAAATACATTATAATGCAATTTCTAAATTTATGTACCAACGGTAACCGTGGTTTCAGTAAAAAACTAGGATGGTAAAGGCGGGTTTCCACTATACAGGTACGCGTACGCGTGTACTTGCATACAAATTCTTTACTGTGATTGGTTGATTAGGTTAAGTAACCACACGATTAACCACGATACCGTACATAGCTGAACATTTTTCGTGTACAGTGTACACGGCAAACGTGTATAGTGAAAACCCGCCTTAATGCTCACGATGTTCCCGTCCATGTTTTGATATTGTTGTGGGAAGGATTGATAATAAAATTGACGTAAGGATAAGTCGTGTCGTAAGAGATTAAAACGACTTATACCTTTTTTAAGAAACAGGACCGGAAAATACAGATTAATAAGACTAGCTCTTATGAGGGTGCATAGAGATATTGAAGTTTAATCAGAACCAAAAGGTGCTAAAATCCACTTTTCGATACACGTAGATTTATAGATCCAACTAAAATATGCTATATCGATAAAATTTACATATTCGTTGTTTAATAGCGATCTAAATAGCATATTTTGTCTTTTTATAATTACAATTTATAGACATCAATACATTAATATTGTTATTTCTACCTTGTTGTTTCAAACGGTTTATAATAATAAAATATTACTATGAGATTGTCCATTTAACACTTATCACAAACTTAATTGATTTACAGAAAAATAATATAATAGGTGCTATACAGTTCGTGTTTGACTCCCGACCGAGCAACACGTGTGTAGCCTTATCGCAACCGCATTTTTATCTACCGTTAGAAGTGTTCCTACTCTGCTCTACGATAAACTGGTAATATGATTTTATTAAGCGCGATTAGCTATCTTCCTAATTAAAATCAATTACGATATTAAATTGCGTTCATTCGCAATCACCACCAATATGCCTACAACATCGGGCAACTTAAATTCAAACCCAAATAAACTATCTCTTAATGATAAATTATTAGCGTCCAAACACTCAACACCTATCCCCCCACCCAAAACCACCTCAACTCAAGACAACCTCATCGTCAATGATACCAACAACATTCAACCCACCTCAAATCATCCAATAGACAGCTCCCAAGTTAAAAGTTTCGCTGAAACAACAGCCAACTCTCTCATACCAAAAATGAACCAAGCTATCGTTATGAACTCAATCGACGGAATTAAACAAATACAATACATAATTGCGCTCAGTAAAATTACTGACGCAACCAACATTATCTCCGCTTCGCGCATATCTAATAACAGGTTCTGTGTTTTCTTCAAAAACCAACAGATTACTAATGACATCATTAACAAGCACTCGGCCATATTCGTTGATAACATTGAGGTACCGATACGCAAGTTAATTAACCCGGCCAAACGCATTATTTTATCGAACGTATATCCCGCTATTCCAAATAAATCTATCATCGAGGCGATAGAGACATTCGGTATTAAGATAACATCTCCAATCACGGCGCTTAAAGCTGGTTTCCCGCTCGATAAATTCGCACATATCACAAGCTTCCGCAGACAACTGTACATCAGTCCTGAAGACTTCCCAAAACTACCTGGATCGATCGTTATTGTCCTCGAAAACACCTCATATCGTATATTCATTACCGATGACATCGTAACCTGCTTTTTATGCAAAAAACCTGGCCATGTATCATCCTCTTGTAAGATGATATACACAACTCCCCCTCTGACAGAAAATATGGACACCTCAAATGGACAAACATCCACTAATACCTCATCCCATCATATTGTCGAAAAAACCAATAGTATGGACATGACTCCTGATCTACCTCTAGAAACTTCTAGCGAAATATCCAACACAAATAATACACAACTCACCAAAGACGATAATTACGATGATATATCGGACTCACAACCACTCCAAGCTACTTTCAAAAGGCCGGCCCCTGAATCCACATGCCCGTCAGCGCCTCCCTCCCCCACGTTGACCAACGACATAATTGAGTTAGGTAAGGATTCATCTGCTGCCAAAAACATAAAGTCCAAAAACCAAACCATAAAAAAAATTAAAGTCAGATCAAGATCAAACTCCTTAACAAGAACCACTGAAATATTAGATAACCTCCTCGAGCCAGCAACGGCTATCCTGCAGAATAAAGACTCCTCCCTTAATCTAATCACTTTCAAACATATTCTAGAAAACTTCACGAACAAAAATTTAAATATACATGAACTATGCATTAGTGTTGGATCCAATGCCACTGAAGTCCTTGATATGGCCGAAAAAGTATTACCACTAATGGTGGAAAAAAAAATTAAAAACAAAATATCTAAACTAACTCAAATTCTATTCCAATCTATACCTCCCCCCGAAAAGTGAACCCCGCAGACTTCCAACCTGAATCAATCAAACCAATAAAACACTACTCAAAATCTATCCCCACTTCCTTATCATAATGACCAATATCATACAATGGAATCTAGATGGCTTCTACAAACGAAGCACCGATTTACAACGAATCCTTTCCAACTTACAACCCAGCGTACTATGTCTCCAAGAAACCAATCTCAAAATGGGACAAACTGCACATGTTAAAGATTATACCAGCTATTGCAGGAACCGCGTAAACCCTATCAGAGCGAGTGGTGGCGTTGCCATACTCGTTAAAAATAACATTGAAAACAGCCAAGTCAATCTCCAAACACATCTCGAAGCCATAGCAGTAACAATAAAACTTCAAATCCAAATATGTGTATGCAATATATATCTCCCTGACAGCACCAACTTCAGCCTCCATGACCTTATCCACATTATCTCCCAACTACCAAAACCCTTTGTATTAATTGGTGACTTTAACAGTCGGAATACACTATGGGGCTCCTCCTATACGGACAGTAGAGGAAAAACAATAGAGAAACTGCTTGAAGAACCGAACATAATACTCTTAAACAATGGTAGCCCTACTAGACACAACGCAGCTAACGGAAAACTATCAGCAATCGACCTATCTATAGCAAGCTCAAACATTGCCCCAAGTATCGAATGGAAGACCCTCCCAATCTATAATGGAAGCGACCACTGGCCAATACAGTTACAACTTTTTCACCAATCTTCTAAAACAGACCCTATAAATAAATGGAAACTCAAATCACCAAACTGGGAACTATTCTCCTGCCTTGTTGACCAGTACATCACAGAAAACCAATTAGAAGTTCCCATTGAACATATACTACCCATAAACCAAACCCACATTGATGAACTGATCAACAAATTATCAACGCTAATAATAAAGGCAGCTAATATAGCAATTGGAAAATCTAGTCGCCCTCTTAACAAAAGAACAGTACCATGGTGGAACGAAGATTGTAAAAACGCAATCACAAAATATAAAAAAGCTCTCAACCGCTTCAAAAAAACCCACTTACAAACAGACCATATACTAGTTAAAAAATACAAAGCTGAATCCAGATACATTACAAAAAAAAGTAAACTAGAATGCTGGCAGAAATATACATCTACAATCAATATCAGAACCCACCCGTCAGCAGTCTGGAACAAAATTCGTGCACTCAAAGGATGTAAACACCAACCTCTTCCTAACCATATGCACCACAACCAAACTGAACTACATTCAACCTCCGAAATTGCACATGCCTTTGCTGAGACATTCCAATCAAACAATAGCAATGCAAATTATGAGGAGAACTTTCTAAATTTCAAAAATGAAACTGAAAATAATATCACAATTAACCCCTATCCTCAACCTGACAACGCGGAATATAATCACCCATTCAATATAAAAGAACTCCACCTCGCACTTCACAACTGTAACAGCAAAAGTCCTGGACCTGACGATATTCCTTTCACCTTCTTGAAAAACTTATCGGATAATGCTATCAACACTCTCCTCGCAATTTTCAACTTAATTTGGAACAATGGAATTTTCCCCAATCAATGGAGACAGGCACTCGTAATCCCTATACTAAAACCAGACAAAGATAAATTTAATATTCTTAGCTACCGTCCAATTTCGCTTATCAGTACCCTAAGCAAATTACTTGAAAAAATGATAAACAAACGCTTAGTGTGGTTTCTCGAAACGAACAAAAAATTCACAAAACAACAATGCGGCTTCCGCATAAACCATTCAACCCACGATGTCTTAGCTACACTTCACACTGATATAACTGAATCAATAATTAAAAAACAACACCTTATCCTAATTGCTCTCGATATAGAAAAGGCCTATGACATGGTATGGAAAAAAAAAGTACTATCCTCCCTCCAAAAATGGAACATCACAGGAAATATGCTAGCCTTTATTCACAATTTCCTTCTAGATCGAAAAATCCAGGTAAAACTAGGCAATACACTTTCCGAACATCTAGACATTGAGAACGGACTACCGCAAGGATCATCAATAAGTGTCACATTGTTTCTCGTTGCCATTAATGACATATTTAATAACATAAAGCCTCCCATAAAATGCACACTATTCGCCGATGATTGCAACATATATTGCAGAGGAGCTAATATCAAAACTACTGTAGCACTTCTCCAAACAGCACTAAAAGCCCTATCTGACTGGTCCTCCATCACAGGCTTCAAGTTCTCACCAGCCAAAACTCATTGCATAATTTTCAATAACAAAAAAAAAAATGAAACAATCCATCATGTATACCTAAACAACACAAAAATTGAATACACTGAAAGCATCCGTATACTCGGGATGATATTTGACAGCAAATTCACATGGGTCCCACACCTCAAAAATCTAAAAAATGAATGCAAGAAGAGAATGAAAGTCATCAAAACGCTGGCTCATAACACATGGGGATCTGAAAAAAACAGCCTCCTCACCATATACAAATCGCTCATCCTATCCAAAATTGACTATGGCTCATTGATCTACTACTCAGCTAACTCCAACATCTTGCGCACTATTGACCCTATTCATAATGAAGGAATCAGGCTTTCCATAGGAGCTTTCCGTACCAGTCCAGTTTCCAGTATTCTCTGCATGGCAGGCGAGCCTCCTCTACAGATTCGAAGAAATAAAGATATCTTAAAATACGCGGCAAAAAAGAAAAACCTTGAACACCACATGGCATCACAAATATTCACCTCCTCTCCTAGTCTCAGAACATCAAGGAACCATGAAAAAATCACGGACACGTACACTAAACTATGCAGCAATTCAAATTGCCTCGTCAACACGGACACCTTCTCTCCATTTACAACATCCCCCTTCTGGCAATGGACCCCTAAAATTAACACGCAGCTCCTTCATTTCAAAAAAAACAACACTTTGCATACAATAATCTCAAGAACCTTTAACAACATCTTATACTCTGAATACCAGGATTTTAATTATATTTACACTGATGCTTCCAAAACTAGTGACGGAGTAGGATTCGCTTACTGTACTAACCATACTTCAAAACTCTTCAAACTCCTCCCGGAAGCCAGCATCTTCACAGCGGAAACCCAGGCGATCAAAGAAGCATTACTATTCGCAATAACAACGTTCACAAATAATATTTTAATAATCAGCGACTCTCTAAGCGCCCTCCTAGCCATTGAAGCACCAAACCCCTCTAATGAAATAATATACCAAATTAATAACATCATGTCCTCGACCAAAAAAGTAATTGAGTTCATATGGGTTCCCTCTCACATAGGGATCCCAGGAAACGAAAAAGCAGATAAACTTGCAAACGAAGCTATCACCTCGACCTCGTCCACACTCATTTCCACTCTCCCATACCAAGATATCAAAAGAATAATAAACTTACACACTATCAATACATGGCAAATATCCTGGGACGAAATCCCAATCTCAAATAAATTAAAATGTATCAAAAAGAAAATTACCAAATGGCAAACACAGCCCAATATTTCTAGACGGTCTGAAATAATAAACACAAGAACAAGAATTGGCCATACCAACCTCACCCACATACACATCATTAAAAACGAAGAACAACCTCTATGTAGCCGATGCAATGAACCACTCTCGATTAAACACATTGTCCTCGATTGTCCGCTGTATTTCAACGCAAGGACCATTCTCAACCAACCGTCATCGATGGAGGAGGCACTGGGTGAACACCACACTCACCTGATCCACAGTTTCTTCAAACACATTGGTTTAGACACTAAAATTTAATACTGTTGAAATTACTTAACTAACAAATATATTGTAAATAGAAAAATTTGTAAAACTACTAACCTATAATATTAGAATCCTTAATTATAACTAGATTGTACATTATCAGTGTAAAAACTATTGTAGGCTAATGACCTAGTAGTCGAAGCCTTATCTTTAATAAAAAAAAAAAAAAAAAATAGGTGCTATAAATAAACTTATGTAGGTATTAAATCAGTACAGTATTAATAATCAATTAATATATGTGATATAAGACGTATCGATATAGAAAAAAAAAATGTCGAACACGAGTACCCACCTTATAATGTTTAAATGGAGTAAGATTTGAAAAATTTAAAAAAATTAAAATACGTGTATAAGAAGAATCTTGTGTAAGCTAAATATGCTATATGGTTAAGACCTAACTCATGTTGTACTCGAATTTTAAATATGATTGGTACTCGTTGTTAAATCTAACCACGTATGGGTGTTCCTTCATTTGTACCGATGTGGCCAACGTTGTCGTGAGTAATATAAAAATCTGTAAAAACAAAATAATTATATAAATAATCTTACATTCTTAATGAGGATCTACTATACATCAATTTATAACTTTAATTTTCAAAAATATGATTTTTATTTTTTAATTGAATAACCCGCGCAACATAGGCCATTGGGTGTGAGGAGGGAACTGTGAAGTTTTTAGGTTGGGTAGGTTGGTACACATGTGTGTTGTGTTTTGGCAGAACTTCTAATGGGGCAACCTTAGGTTTCTGCCATGCCCGGGTGGGGGATGGGATCACTTGTTCTCCGGACACCTAGACTTTCCGACGAAAATTGCCGCCAGCGGCAGAGGTATCGAACGAGCGTCGACTGCGTCGCAGCCGACTTCTTAGTCCGCTCGACCACTCCGCCCCCCATAATAAGTTTTATTTATCTACATATACCTACATGTATGTATTATTTGTTCCAGAATTGTATACGGATTATACCTATCCGTTATAAAATAATAACAAAATTGCATTTATATATAATGTGTGTTTTTTCGACTAGAATTTATTTTAATGGACAGAAATTGTAATTATCATTCACATCATATTATCGATTTGATTTTGACAAAGTTTGTGTTAAGACAGATATTACGCTCATTTGTTGAAATTTTCAAAATATAGTTTCTGAGAACATTTTGAAAATTACAATAATATTTAGATCATGTTAAACCAATGTGAAAACTAGTATTTATTCAAATTATTTCCTGTTGTAAAACCATTATAAAACCGAATATACTTACTGACATTATAAGTCTCAAATTGATATGAAAAAATCCGAAGGCTGAAAATTGATCCCATTCAAAAATTGATAATTGATTCATAAACAATTTAACCTAAATCAAGTTAATATAAATATAAAACAAAGAATTAATAAAGTGATAATAATATAAAAATTTAGAGTTGTTGTAAATATAATATTATTTTCATTGTTGTAATATGATCAAAAATAGCATTATTACTTGTAACTTCGTATCAATTGGTAGTTTTGAAACATGTATTAATCTTAGAAATGAAATTATTTCAATTATCTGAAAGCAAACACAATATAATTTTTATATATAAACACGTGCGTATTGATTATACAATGTGTGTTGTAAATTATTTTTCAGCTAGAAATACATAAACGTTTTGCTTTTCATAGTTAAATTTAAAAATTTTAATAGAACATTTTACATAAGTTTTTCTACGTATAACAAAAAAAGTTTAGTTAAACGGAACATAATTCTTATGATATTTGATGTTCCCATTAATCGATTTTCGATATTTTGTTGTATTTCCAAAACGAATAATCTTAGACTCTTAAAATCTTCATCAAATATTTATATTAGTATGTTCCATGGTATAATGTTCAAACAATTTTAACTATTTATGAGCTATTTATAGCCATGATAATTATTTCAAATGCTGTAAATATTTTTCAGTTAGAAATATATAAAAGTTTTTCTTTTCATAGTTAACATAAGATATTTTAATAAAACGTACACAACAAGTTTTTCGAACTCTATCAAAAATAAAAAGTTCACTGTAAAGTCATATTATTTATAGCCATGGGATATTTTAGATTTTTATAAAATATTAATTATTACATTAAAATGTTGATTATTTGTACAAGTATGACACAACTCAAAACCGTTTTTCGTACACAATGATTTATCATTGATTTCAAACATAACACATCCATTACAACTTCATGCTCTGCAGTTATTGTACAGAAGAGGGGTATCCACTTGCTCACCTTGTTAAATTAAATATTTAAAAAAAACGATTAATTAAAATTGTGATAAAATATATATCTAATCTCAGCTAACATGGGGGACTGGGGTCTAACTAAGCTAGGTGAAATCTAGTTTATTCGTAAGGCATTAAATATCTTAGACTTTTAGATACCTACTACTATAATACAAGTTGGTGTACTTAGTTTCTGTGTTTGAACAATGTCCGAGTATCACAATCAATGAATAAATACATTTAAAATATTAATGAATTTGGTCTTGTAATATTACCTATTATATACATACTAGTTATAGTATACTAAATACTTATCTATATATTATACATTCTGACATATCTGACAGTTAGGGTAAGTGCATTACAGGTTATGTATTTTACGTTTTCTGTAACAGTATACTTTGTTTTAATATTCTTATGGGTATTACTTATAAAAGGCTATAAATAATTGTACGATTGAACCGCTCAGTCGTTATCGTATAGGAATAAAATCGTTTATAATGATAAATTACATGTCGACAATAATCAATGACTGAGTAACTTGGCACTGGTATTTTGAAGTTACCTTTTCGTTTATCCAAGACACGGCAATTAGCAGGCACACTACGAAGACGACGTTTTGTAAACAGAACGCAACGGTCAGTATGACGTTTAGACTGTTATTGTAAGAACTTGCACTGGACGAGGAATCGTATCTGGACACGTGTATCAAGTAGTAAAAATTCCGCAGAAGATCGAAAAAATTGAACGTAAAATAGCACAACAGCACCCCTCCGTAGCCGAAGCCGAAGACGCGCAACAGGTCGCACAGTTTGGAGTGCAACAACCGTACTCTTTCCATCGTCTCGGTGATTTCGGATTGGGTCCACGTGCCGGCGGCGGTGACAAGTCCGGCGGGCATCCACTCGCAGAAACGATTAAGGGTGTCGAATCTTGACCCCAAGTTGAAGAGATAGAAGTACGCCGTTGCGAAAACCACGAACTCCATCACGCAAGGAATCTCGAAAAAATATTTCACCACGGTGCCAAAGTCCAGCCTCGCCGGAGACCACAGCCACATTGAAACTATTTGCAGACCTATGTACGACGTGAGCAACGCGGCCAAAAATGTATTCCAACCGTATTTTGTCGTCGTCGTCGAACATGCCACAGGATTTCCCGATATCGTCAAAGCGAGTCCGTCGAGTGTTCTGTCGAATTCGATTATGCCGTTGATCAACCTAAAACAGTGTATTTGTTATAGTAGGTACAATATTCTATTTCGTTGAGTTACAAATAAAATGTTTTTTTTTTTTGTTTACTATAATACGTTATACATATCACTTTAAGAATTAACTTTGAGCTTAAAATAAACGATTATTATACCAACGTAAGCAAACAGAAACAGTATACAGATCAAATAATATCAGAATACATATTTTTTTTATAATTTTTTTTTTTATATTGAGCTTGAGTTCAACAACTTAGGCCATAAGCTATTTTTTGTTTTGTTTGTAGGTTTTTGTTGTTAGGGCATTAGGGGGAGGAACACGAGTGTGTTTGTTTTGGCAGAATTTTTGATTTGGGCACTCGTAGGTATCTAAGAAGAAAAATTCCATTAACCGACGAGTTTCCACTATAATTCTACTAAAGTTCTGTGAGAGTGTGAAAAATTTAGGTGAATATTATAGTTGTTATAAAACATAGGACAAGAACGGAGAAACACTTGAGGAACGTTTATAACTATACTACAGTAAGTTTTACTATTTAGTAAATTTAAGTTAATTTTATATCAATACATTTCCTTCTACATAAATGAGGGTGTGCTTTTAGACCAGTGGCGTACGCAGGGGTAGGGTTCTAGAGTTCTGACCCCCCCTGAAATTTCTTCCGTTGACAAAAAAATAAAACCATTTAAATACACAAAGTCGTTCATTTGTTGGTCATTTTTAATAGATATTGTAGTGTATGTGGTTGCACTGTACAACCGATTACTTTTGAAGAGGTTATGTTACTTTTAAGAAACACTTTGTTTAAAATTGTCTAACGGATTACTTGCAGTTTTTCTAATATAGAAGAATATATAATGTAACTTTCATGTTTTGTACACATTAAATTTCTTTTAATTATAATGTTGTGTTGCCGTTTATTAATGTGGGCCTCGACATTACAATTGGCGACGAAGTAGTGAAACGTGCGTGCAAATTACTTGTTTTTTTTAGTCATGTAATCGGGTCAGTTACGGCTTGTGAAATCTAAAAACGTGGTTACCATGGCTAATAAGGGTAGCATGGTCGGTCATGTCAATGAATTAAAATTGAAGGAAGACGATTTCAACGGATGGGTTGAACGTTTTGAGCTGTATATTCAGCTTAATGAAGTAAATACACATAAAAAAAAATTATTATTTTTAACCCTGATTGGTAATGAAGGGTATTCTTTATTACGGGATTTGTGTTTACCTGTTAAACCATTGGATAAATCTTATGATAATCTTAAAACCTTGTTATCGGAATACATGAATCCGAAGCCGAATGTGGTCACCGAACGTTTCAAATTTAAGGAATGGAGACAGGGCAACGAAACAATTATTCAATTCGTTGCAGTGTTAAAGAAAATGTCAGAATTTTGTGGGTTTGGCACTCATTTGGAGGATGCCTTAAGAGATCAATTAGTTTGGGGTATCAAGGACCAAAATATTCAGAAGAGGTTACTGTCGGAAGCTTCCTTGAATTTTAAAAGATCTGTGGAACTGAGTGTCGCAATGGAAGCAGCAACCAATGATGTAAACCAACTACATAATCAAAATCAAGTGGAAGTGCTGTATCAGGAACCAAAGAATGAGCTTGTGGTCGGTAGCAGAGTACAGCGGAAAGCAATGTCTACGGGCTTGCGTCAGAAGCGAACGGAGTTGGTTTGTTATTGTTGTGGGGAAGCTGGTCATGTGAAGCCTAAATGTAAGTATAAAGATTTGTTGTGTAAAAAATGTAATAAGAAAGGTCATTTAAAAAAAGTGTGTAAAAATGACTCTTTCAATGTAAATAACTTGGAACAGGATGAAGTGGGTATGATGGAAATGGAATCTTTATATAATTTAGTACCTTTACAGGTTAATTTTATTAAACCTTATTGTTTGGAGTTGATAGTCGATGGAAAAAACGTTTTATTTCAAATTGATACTGGATCTGGTATATCTGTTATATCTGTAGATAGTGTTAAAAAATTTAAAATTGGTAGTTTGGACAAATTAATTAAAACTAACTTAAAATTAAAAGCATATAATGGTAATATTATCAATCCTCTGGGTATATTGTCTTTAGTTATTGGTCATAAGGGTTTATGTAAGACATTAGATTTGTATGTGGTTAACGAAGGGGGTCCACCGATTATGGGGAGAGATTGGATTACTGCCTTTAAGGTACTTCCAATGGAATTAGGTTTAAATACCTTGAGTGTCCAAAGCATGGCGGAGAGGTTTCCGTCGGTTTTTAGTAATTCCTTGGGATGTTATAAAAATAAGACTTTTGAGTTGGTACTTAAATCTGATTCAAAACCAATATTTTGTAGACCTAGAATTATTCCTTTTTCATTAAAGGATAAGGTTAGTTTGGAACTGGATAGAATGATAGCGGATGGTTTATTAGAGCCAGTGGAATCTTCAGATTGGGCCACACCGATTGTACCTGTAGTGAAAGTGGATGGGAGTATTAGATTGTGTGGCGATTATAAGGTTACTGTTAATAAAAGTTTGGTTGTGGATAGGTACCCAATACCACGAGTGAATGAATTATTAAGTAGGTTTCAGGGGGCGACTAAATTTTGTACCTTAGACCTTTGTCAGGCTTATCAACAACTGCCTTTGAGTGCAGAGAGTCAGAAATTAACGACGATTACTACTCATAGAGGTTTATTTTTTTTTAAAAGGGTGCCATATGGTATTGCATCTGCACCAGGATTACTTCAAAGAGAAATGGAAAATATTTTAAGTGGTTTAACGGGAGTTGGTTGTTTTTACGATGATGTAGTTATAGCTGGTAAGGATGACAAAGAAGTCACAGAGAGACTGCTGGGGATGTTAGAAAGGTTTGAGTCTGCTGGTTTAACAGTTAAGGCTAGTAAGTGTAAATTGATGCAAGATAGTGTCACTTTTTTAGGACATTGTGTTGATAAGGATGGTTTGCATATTCCTGAAGAAAGAGTTAAAGCCATTGCCCAGGTGAAAACTCCTGAAAATGTGCATCAATTAAAAGCTTTTTTAGGTCTAGTCAATTATTATGGTAAATTTTTTAGAAACATGTCCTCTATGGCTAGTCCTTTGTATTTTTTATTGAAGGCTAATGTTAAATTTTGTTGGGGTCCTGAGCAAAATAAAGCATTTATTAATATTAAAAATCATTTAATGTCTAAAACGGTACTCACACATTATGATACAACCTTGGAATTGGTTTTAGCTTGTGATGCCAGCCCTAAGGGTATAGGTGCGGTTTTGTCACATAGGTTTCACAATGGGGAGGAAAAGCCCATTGCATTTGCTTCAAGGACGCTTAGTAAAAGCGAGCAGGGGTATTCACAGCTGGATAAGGAGGCTTTGGCTTTGGTTTTTGGTGTCAAATATTTTCATCAGTATTTGTATGGCAGACCTTTCATTCTTAAAACGGATCATAAACCTTTAATATCAATTTTTGGAGAAAAAAAAGGGATTCCGGTCATGGCAGCCCATAGACTACAGAGATATGCAATTTTTCTCGCTGGTTATTCTTATAATATCGAATTTGTGAAGGGAGTTGACAATGGCAATGCGGATGCCTTATCCCGATTACCAATTGAGGGAGCTGATATGATCAATCATGTGTTTTGTAGTAATTTTTTTATTAATTTAATAACCACAAATGTTCAGGGGATTGCTGATTTAGATATTTGTGAGGAAATTCAGAGGGACAAGGTATTAAAAAAAGTTTTTTTGTTGGTGATGTCGGGGAAGTGGCCTAATTCCAGTAAATAACTGTCGGAGGATATTAAGCCTTATTTTAATAGGAAGAATGAGCTTGCTATCGAGCAAGGTTTGTTACTTTGGGGACATAGGTTGGTTATTCCATTAAAGTTTCGGGAGGTTTTGTTGATGGAATTGCATAGTTCTCATTTAGGTACGGTTAAAATGAAAGCGATAGCGAGGTCTTATATGTGGTGGCCAAATATTGACAAAGAAATTGATTTAATCACTAAAGAATGTAGTGGGTGTGTTGAATACAGTGATAATCCGCCAAAGTCAATATTGCACAATTGGCCATGGCCGGAGGGACCAGCTCAACGGATCCATTTGGATTTTTTAGGGGCTATTAATGGCAAGATGTTTGTGGTAATTATCGATGCACATTCCAAATGGGTTCATGTTAGGTTCATGAATAATATCACTACAGAATCAACAATTAAGATTTTACGGGAGTATTTTTCCTTGTGGGGCTTACCTGCTAAGCTGGTAACAGATAATGGTCCTTCATTAGTGTCAAAAGTTATGGAAGAGTTTTTAGCTAAGAATGGAGTGTTCCATGTTAAAACACCTCCATACAATCCTGCATCTAATGGGGCTGCTGAAAATTTGGTTAGAACTCTTAAGAATTTTTTAAAGAAGAATGGTATGAAGTCAGACTTAGACACAGAAATTGCCAGATTTATGTTATCTTATAATAGTACCAAGCATTGTGCTACAGGTGTAACACCAGCGGAGTTACATATTGGTAGGAAGTTATTTACATCTTTTGACAGATTGGTGCCGAGAGCTAAATATAGATATAACAATAGTATGTTGGCAGCTAAGAGAGTTTATAAAGGGGGTAGAGTTAAAATGTTTGAAATGGAGGATGATGTGATGTGCCGGAATTATGCTAGTGGGGCTAAGTGGATAAGGGGTACTATTATTCAAATATTATCACCTGTAACTTATATGGTACAGTGTGTAGGGGGTGAGGTTTGGAAAAGACATATTAATCAGTTATTGGAAACTAGTGTTGCTGTAACAAACCCTTGTATTAAAACATTAACAAACTCTGTTGTGGGGCCTAAGGATCAATTACCATCATTGCCTGTTAAGGAGGTGGTGAGAGAAGAAAGTGGAGAGGAAGATAGCCGTGAGACTGAAAAGCAGGATGTTCCAAAGTTATGGAGGAGTGAGAGGATTAAAAAAATTCCTAATCGTTTAAATTTATAAATGTGTATACTATGTTATATTATATTGTTTTAATGTTTAGGAACTTTAAAGTTCTATTGTATTTTTTGTTGTATGTACTTATAAGAAGTTATTATTATTATTAAAAAAAAAAAAATAATAATGTTGTATTGTTATGGTTTGTAAATGTCTCCAATGTTTAGTAGAATGGAGCATAAATTTAATTTGTATTTAGGATTAAGATAAATGTTGTATTGATTGATGTTTATGGTTCCTTGCTTAGTGGGAAGGATCTGTAGTGTATGTGGTTGCACTGTACAACCGATTACTTTTGAAGAGGTTATGTTACTTTTAAGAAACACTTTGTTTAAAATTGTCTAACGGATTACTTGCAGTTTTTCTAATATAGAAGAATATATAATGTAACTTTCATGTTTTGTACACATTAAATTTCTTTTAATTATAATGTTGTGTTGCAACATATATAATATACAGATATAATATAAATTGTTAAATATGACAAAGACGTCGATAATCATAGTTTCAGTTTTTTGGCTGGTTTAGAACATTGCTAAACATCTGTCATAACCGTCGTAGAGTGTATCATCATATGTATCACCGTCCATTGATAATTACCACATACTACGACCCGAAAAGGCTCTATAGATGACCATAGGTGTCAAGATTGAACACTCGAGTGTTCTTAATGTAGGCTACATTTGAGACTACTGACTAATTATAATTTGTTATAACCAATTACATAAAAACTATTTAGAAAAAAATAATGTAAATTATTTACTCAGGTGAAACCCTAACCGAACTAAAATCCTGCGTACGCTACTGTTTTAGACAACTAAGCCAATTATCATGATTAATTTCATTATTATTTATCTAGAAAGAAATTAAATTTAAAAAAATATATTGTATGGATTTAATCTTATTTATATCACTTAATACATAACATGGAGAAAATATTATTATAATGGATAAATGGAACCATATTCCAAGATAAATCGTAAAAGTGCAATATATTAAGTTTTTAAGCATGTAATATTTTGAAATTCACTAAAGTATCATGTCTATTATTATTATACTACCTAAAATAGTTCGTAATTATGTTACAAAAAACTAAACTATACACTTTATCCGCCGATATAGGTATAAGTAGCGCAATATTAATAGCTACTAATGTATTTAATAGAATAAAATATAAGATATACAATAATAAAAATAAATAATATTGCAACGATTGTATGTTCTATCTAACCTGATGATCCAAATTTCGTAAATCCTCGCCATGAAAATAGTGGTCCAAAATTTGAGCAACACCAGTTCTCGGAGGTAAAACGTGTTGTTTACGTGGAAGACGTACGTAAAACCTACCAACACGGTCGTTCGAATCAGTTCTAGGCAGACAAAATGCATTGCATTGCTCGAGTTTTTGCACAATAACCCGTAATCGAATGTATACGTAATGCTTATGAGTCCCAATGTTTTTGACATCACTAAGAATGGCCTTAAGGCCACTACAAAAGATGTTGACATGTTCACAGTACGACGGCGCCTGCAGTTAAAATGTTATTGTTATGGGAACTATTGTGTTGAAGCTACTGTGGTTGCTTAGGACATAAACCATATTATAATACCCTCCGGGGCGACGAAATGATAACTCGAAAGTTAAATGACCGGAAATGACAGAATAATTATCATTTGATCGAACATTATTATTTTTAACCAGATCGACACAGTACATTTATTAAAAATGTATATAAGACACGCTGTGAATAATTTATTACCAATTCAATATTATACTATTACCGATATGCATGTTTTATTTCAATGGTTCGATAAAAATCATAGTATTCATTAAACTGTTTTAGAGAAACAATTCCAATCAAATGACCGTTATTATTTGTCAATTTATTAATGTATTTATAGTTTTTGTATTAGGTAACTATAGTTTAATACAATATTACTCTTATTTCGGCTACTTTTAATATTAGCTGTTTAGTTTAGCTAGTGAAATTTACAATAAATTACAACATAATATATAGGTAAGTCACAAAACACATTTATAAAATTATAAATTTATATTAAAAGAAGAAGAAGATATTCAGAACACGTATTCAATTAATCTTGAAAAATAATTCAATTTTATGCTTGTACAGTTGTACATGTCATATAACGTGCTCATTACATATATTTTTTGGAATATTGCGTTTATCATTTCTAATAACCAAGCCTGGGCAAGTTATGATCATTTTTAATTGAGTTAAGTTAAGTTTTTATTTTTATTTACTTTTATTTAATTTCATACATACATACATATGAATACTGGGCCCCACTGAAAAAACTCATGTGGGGGTCCAAGAGTTCAAAAATATCGTTAAGTTGATAGAAAATATTTTCAAAAGTTTATAGTTAATAGTTATCCTAATTTTTTCTTTAGCTCAATTAATTTAAAAGTTTTATGGAAACTTATAGTTAACTTATTAACTTAAGTTAAGTTATTTTTTAATTTTTAATTTTTACTCGTTTATGCCTCGACTTACTAATACTGTTAGTGTGCGAAAACATTACCCCAACACAGAGATGTAGCAAAATAGTCTATCTATCACGCCGTGTTACCTATTCATATTATTCAAACATAATATTATTAATACTGAATACCTAATGGCTAATACCCATCAAGTTATACAAATTGGTATGAGTAACTGACGAAATTATTGATTAGTAATAACACTGATAAGTATGTGGTAAGAAAAAATTGTCGTTATAATTGAAGCGATATTATAACTCTTAGATTATATATTTATTTATGTTTTTAGTTAAAGTTTCTAAATCACGAAATGAAAAGGTTCTAAATCACGGTTTTTATGAAATTGTCTAGAAAAGCTATTTTAAGGTTTGAGTTCAAAAATTTTACTCCTCGAAAAACATTTTATGAAAATTAATGTTCTAAAGCATGTAGAAACTTGTATAATTAAATTCGCAACATTATAATAATAATTTTCTGTATTGGTTGATAATTGATGTACAAATTATAAAATGTTTAGTATGAAAATATATATTTAATTAGAACTTTTTCATTCTTATTTATTATTTTTATTATTGTTAGCTGAATCCTTTTCAGCAAAATGCTTCCTCATTGCTACCAATCTTATATCACGAAACAATGTAATGATTATGAAACATCAAAATCCGTATCTCGATCGTAAAATCCATATTTATAAAAATGAATTGCTGTTCGTTTGTCTCTCTAAAACTCGAGAACGGCCTGACCGATTTGGCTCAATTTTTTTTTAAGATTTTCGTAATTGCCAGGAGAAAATTGTATTAAAATCAACCGGAAAAGTAGGAAATCTGGATGAAAAAAATACAACAGTGGCGCAACAGTGTATTATAATTTATATTGAATGCTATTGGTTAATAGGGGATGTTTGTTGATTTGTATTTTGTTTTTCGTCAATATATATATATATATATATATAAATGAATGTTTGTGTGTAGATTAGACCTCTGAGAAGAAGACGGGATAATTTAAAAATGGTTAAATTTGGTTTTTTTTTTCATCTGATATTAGTAATTACTTATTAGTATTAACTGATTATATTAATCCACCATAGGTGGAATACAACAAACTTGGTATAACTTTGATACTTTAGAGTTAAATCATACACTTACGTACAAACATCAAGGGGTCAGCGATCTACCGCAGGTAGATTGCCTACCTGATATGATAATAATATACTGCTGTATAAAAGTATAAAATGTACAGTATAATATAATATATGTCAACCAAATTTAAACCAAATTCGTGTTATGAATCTCAACATTTCCTTACACTTCAAGTATATTTCAATACTCTGTAATAATTTATTAATGTCTGCAATTTTTTTAATTTTCAACATTTGCTAGTGTAAGCTGTGTGTACTTACATTCCCCGGTGATTGTCACCCTTAGCAGAAACATCGCGGCAGTGGCAGTCAAATAATTGTATCATGAGGCTGAAGGATAAGGGATGAGGGTTGCTTATTTTTTAATATGCACTTTGATTGTTAGTAACATAAATTAAGTAATTTAGATCAACTCATTGCAAAAATATTTACATAAAAATTCCAATAATAAATAATATTGCTATAAATATTGAAAAAAAAAGGCCACAAGGGATATATGGTGATATATACCCCCCCCTCCCACCCATTTGACCACCCCTCACGGCGAAGCGAAATATTTTACATATTTTACAAATACGATATGTTATATATAATTATTGTTAGGTATGTAATGCCTAGTATGATACTATAGTTTAATATTGAATTATTATTCTTCAATCATTAGTATGACTTTCACAGCGTTTTGATTGAAATTACAGTTCGTCATCGAAATAAAAAAAAAACGATTTACATATTAACATCAATGATAATATATTAATTTTTTTTACAATACTATTTTAAACTCAAGTGTGAAGCGCCATCTAAATGTAAAGACTTTATTACTGAGCAACATCAACAAGTAGTTCACTAGAGTGCGCCACGGAATTACGTGTCGTTTATACAACTGTTGAATAATTCGTATTTACACTGTGCATTATAATAATATATATTTTTTAAATGGCCATACAATTACCGCGGAATATAATAATTACGAACACGTTAATCGACTAATTAAATTGTCAGCGTCAGAAACAAAATCGAAAAATAGAATGATAATAACACGTTACGTCAAGTTCGCTTGGTCTTGAAAAAAAAATTACAGCCCAACACGAACGATACGCCCACACGGGTGCGGGTTGCATAATATTATTATTGTTAAGCGTTAAACGTGTGAAAAATAGGTTTGAATAATAATTATTGTCACAGTAGATAACAATATTGTTAAACGGCACCAACGGATTTCCAAAAAAATTAATAAAAGAAGTATAATGACATAAACTACAACCTAGTCTAGAGACGTGAGTGCTGTACATTTACCAGGTAAATTTTTACCTATAAATAAATTTATCGTCTATTTAATATTTTGCCAATTTGTTTTACCGGTAA